GTGTGTGAGAGAGAGAGAGAGAGAGAGAGAGAGAGAGAGAGAGAGAGAGAGAGAGAGAGAGAGATTCGTTTCCACAGCTTCCTATTCTTCCTGAGACCACAGGAAGGTAAACTCAAGATCTTCATTTTCTTCCTGGAGCCAGAGGGCATGCGCGGGGAGGATGAAAGGGGAGGGGAGCAACGGAGAGTGCCACTAAATGACTAGATCTTCAAGAAATCTCAATAACATACCAACAAGTCACAGGGTGACCAACCAGTCTAGCACATCAATAAATTACTTGCTCCCTCCTACTGTCTTTTCTTTACTGGCGAAAAACACACGGGCTACCCAATCTAATCTTGCACTTAAACAATATACCTCCTGTGAATATGGCCCTCTTCACTGAAAAAGAAGTCCTGTGAACTGTGGATCAGCAACTGCACGACAATCCTGTATCCACAATGCTAACGAGTAGTAATGATGTAGCGAGGAGAAGCCGAATAGGATGTCAAATAGTCAATTCTCAATCGCACAATAGTGCCCCACCCGAATTCACCCGAGTAGAACGCCCGGTAATTATCGCCGTATCTGAGCTGAAAGCTGTGCCAAATACGGCTATAATGACCGGGCATTCTATTTGGGTGAAGACCATCGTTCATGCAAACTGAAGATCACATCACCATTCTAACAAGTGTCGATGTTTCACCTGCACCAACAAAATGGCCTACAAGTAGCAACACCAGTGCATTTTTATTTCATTTTTATTTCCAAAATAACGAGGACGAATCCCCTGCTTAGGCTTGGCACCCTTGGGTAGGATTGGTTATCCGTTGCCCGGGGTTAGGAAGAAAGCTGCGGTGTGTAGACACAGGTGAGGTGGTCGGTGTTAAGTTGTTAACCCATAACTGTTAACCCATAACAGCAAAGATTTGGGATAAAAACTGGACTTAGATGAGAGGTTAGGTAGTGTGAGGCATATGAGTGAAAAATATTGCTTAGTTTGAAACAGAAAACAAAGGTCCCATCATGGTGGAAGATGGAACCACTGCTGAAGAACCACGTAAGGAGAAGGACAGGGGGAATCTTACGGATAGATGAAAGCCATCCATTCCCTTAAGCGGCATTGGCCACAGGGGTATGGCGATGGGCAGCTGCACCCCAATAGAAAATGCACTGTCCTGTGAAGACTGTGCGTTGGGTGGAATCTATGATGAGGAATTCATCATGTTGTGCGTTTTTCTAACCGACTGTGCTGCGCACGGCGAATGACGTGGCATCTAGCATTTTGCTGTGGATCAGGGGCTGTGAGGAGTGGCCATCGTTGATTGCCTTGAATAAATATTTTGCAGTACTGATCGTCCGATTATGACAGACTCTCTTGAAGACAAACTATTGCCGTCAAGGAAAAAAACATGAAAGAAAAGACGAGCCGAGAGACGAGGAAGAGAGAGAACAAAAAAGAAAGAAAAAGAAAAGAGAAAGAAGACAAAACACATTGCAGGGCTCGAGAAAAGACAATCGCCGCGGCGCGCTACTCACGAGACACGGAGTACCTGCCAGCAGCCGTATCTGCAAGCTTACTCACCAGGCGTCTTTGCTGTTTTTTTTTTTTTTTTTTTTTTTTTGCCCGCCTGTACCATGGGCGGCAAGCCGTCCAACAACACGGAGACAGGGATGGATTCCACTGGATGACAATTTCATGTCAAACGAGGCGGATGGCCATCTTATTAATGTTAACTCAACTAGTACGAATTTGAATTTTGAACTTAATTTCAAAAAAGTTCCATCTCCTCTCCAATGCGCCAAAAATAGGTCCAATCATTTCAACAGCTTTTTATCCCACAGCTCTTGATACCTTGTACACAGGGTTCTGGCCATTGGCGAAGTACACGGCAGCGTATCTGGTGCTGCTGACGGGGCAGTTGTTGTAGGTGAGTTGCCAGTTGTTAGTGGTCGACGAAACTGCTGCCGACACCTGTACGGGAGACCTCAATGGAACATTCACTCGAACTCCGCTGATTAAAACAACTGAACGGCCCGATCCTGCAGTGGAACTCAAGAAGTACATGCTTCCAGACCGTAACTGAGCAGCTGGGGCGACGAAGGATGCCCTCGCCACTCGCCTTCCTGCAGTACATGCTCCCATTGAGAGCGTGAATCCGGCGGAAAAGGACGACTCCAAAGCGCATCGAGCTTCATCGAAAGCCGGAGACACTCCGCACCTTGATCCTATCACTGAGCCGCACACCTGGCAGTTTGTGGTTGGCCGTATCTGAGCAGCACTTCTTAAAGGCTTGCCAACTATACCCTCCACCCAGTCGACGAAGGCGCTGATGCGTGTCAGAGCTGAGGGGAACGAAGGGTCTCCACAGCCAGTGCCCCAACTCACACTGGCGACGAGGATCGGGCAGCCACCAGAAGCTGAGAGCGTCACAATGGGACCACCACTGTCACCTGTCACATTCAAGGGATACGGTGGGAGGGGGAGGTAGATGGTAGCAGCCATGCCAACAACCAGCCAATCGACATACAATATTTTAGATCGAGGCATAATTTCTCTTGGCAAAATATGTAACAAGACTTAAAATAAATAAACAAATAAATAAATAAATATTAAATGAATAAAAATCGCAACCACTGGGCCTCACACTCCACTGCTCACCAAATGTGCGAAATGAGAATGAATCGAATCTTCCCGATTCTTCCACTAGAGCATGGGAAAAGAGTTCAAACGACACACCAGTGACACAACCATGTTTTGTCTTTCGTGCATGTGATAGTGGAGCAAGGGCCATTGCTATTCTCGATTATGAAATGATTGACCCATTCCGTCTTGTCATTCTTTTTTTTCCGCTTCTTTTCTAAACTATATTATTCTCTCAATTCCACCTTTCAATACCTACCCACCGCTGGGCGCCTGCAAGCATAGCTACCTCTCACAATCAAGGGGACGCATGCTTCCCCCCGCCCTAATCAGCGGACCGGCGGTGGTCAGGGAGTAGGGTGGGGCCGCCKGTGGGGSGGGGGGGGGGCGGGGGCTAACGCAAAGACCGAGCATTTTGGCAGTAGCTGCCCCTCCCATCTACTCCCCACACCCCCATCGAGTAACAGCAGTCTCTATGACCAGCACTCTCCCACACATCACACACACACACACACACACACGCGCGCGCACACCCGTGATGGCCAAAGACCCTACCAATACCGAACAGGGGGTGCATTCTCATTTGAATTTTGATAATAATCTTAACAAATTAATCATTATGATTATGGCATACTCCTTCCTATGCCTGGACTAGAAAATCTTTAGAGGAGAGGAGGGCATAGGAAGGTTAAGCAAGATACCACACTTAAAGGTCGAGAGCAGAGCAGAGCACTTAGGATACGATGTACAAAGCCTGAGGGTAACATGCTAATTGTTCTTTCCTGATAGGCCTCTTTGAATTTGGTCTCGCAGATTCCCCTCCATACATTTGCTTCAGCACTATCCCTCCGTCGCTCCCCTCTTCTCCACCTCTTAAACCTTCCACTCACACAGTACCTTAATCATTCACTCCTTGCGCTTAATCCCTCAATTTACTGCAGTCTCTCACTCAACCCTCATTCCTCCTTCCAGCCCCTCTATTCAGCCCACCTCCCCCCCTTGCTCTCGTTTTCTCCCCCTCTTTCCTCTTTCACGCACTCACTTCCTCACTCAATTCACTGCAGCCCCTCCGTCCCTCAACCTCCTCCAGTTCCCTTTCTGTCCCCCCATCCCTTCCCCCCATCCCTCCCCCTCATCCCTCCCCCCATCCCTCTCCCCATGCTTTCACCCATCCTTCTCCCCATCCTTCGGCCCATCCTGCTCCCCATCCTGCTCCCCACCCTTCTTCCCATCCTCCGCCTCCTTCATTCCCCGTTCCTCCACTCTCCCTCCTCCCCTGCCTGCCCCGTACCCCCCCCTCCCTACCCCGTTCCTCCCCCTCCCCTCTCCCGCTCCCTCCCCCCACCTTCCCTCTCTCCACTTCCATTTGTCCTCCCCTCCAGCCCCTTTCTGCAGTTCCCTCCCCTTCCTCACTCATCTTTCTCCATCCTTTTCCCCTTCCACTCAATAAACCCATCAATCCTCCTCAAGGCTCAAACTTAATTCCTCCATTTAGTGAGCTTCCTCCCTCCCTCCCTCCCCCCCTCCATGCTCCCCCCTTCCCTCCTCAAGCTTCGCTCCCTCACTCATTATTCCTTTCTTTCCCTCCCTCTCGAATTGCTCCTTAGCTGGGTCCCTGAGCTTCACAACTCCCTCTCTTCCCCTCCCTCCCTTCTGCTCCCTGCATCAATCCCTTGTTCACTCCTCTCCCTGCCTCTTCCTCTCAGTCAGTCACTCACTTACTCCTCCACCCCTCACTCTCTCCATCCACCTTCCCACCGATCTCCCTTCCACTCTCACTTCATCGCTCCTCATTGATCAATCAATCAATCTATCACATTGTTCAATTATCCAAGCCAAATTCTGTCAAATTAATCCGACCCATCCATCCATCCATCCATTAATCAATTAGCAAGTGAAGTCCCATCACTCAAATCCATCAGATGAATTAAACAGCATCTGCACAATTCTGCAGTGCAATCTATTCCTCCAGCAGGCTATGGATGATACTGCATCTGTATTGAAATGTACTCATCGGCCAAGTTATGCCCATGGCTCCTCTGGTGCTTCTGATGACTACATCAGTCAATCAAAACCATAAACAATCCACTCCACCAATCATCATACCAAATCAATGTCCTCAATCTATCTTCCTGGGCAAGCATTGTGCCCGCCACCTAAAGATATGCCGCCGGTCCCCCCGAGTGGCATTGAGCAGAGACTGCTGATGTTCATAAGGGGAGGAGACTGGAGGGGAGGCACAGTGACTGGCCCATCGGAGAAGCCCGGTCCTGATGGTACCGGCTGACCCCTGGCCGGTATCACCCACCTGCTGTCGCGCAGGTATCGCACCTGCTGGTGGGCGCAGCTCCCGCATATTCCCTCGTTGGAGGCTTGAGCTCGGATGTGGCTGCTACAGGGTTCCCTGTAATACTATAATGAAAATAAAAAAGGCCTGAAAGGACGTCCTGTCCAGATTTAACAGGTAATTGAATTGGTTGGCCTTACAGAATTAGCCTTTTTAGGCTATATCTATATATAAAAAATGCCGTCAATCTTCGCCATCAAAGGAACCCCAAGCGACACAGCTGCTGCGACAACCGTACTGCAACAGCCTCAACTGCCAGGAATACACGAACAGCCACGACTCCTGTGCATGCCATAACACCGACAACGCCACTCATGCTACAGTCGCAGTACGTGCAAGTCTTGCAATGCAATTGCAACAACAGAAAGAGACCTCATTGGGACTCCAGTTGAGGCTGTTGCAGTACGGTTGCAGCAACCACGACTCCTGGGCAGCCATAACACCTACAACTCCACTCACGCTAGCAGTACGGTTGTAGCAGCAGCTGTGAACAGCCTGAAGAGCCATAACTCCTGGGCATGCCATAACACCGACACCTCCACTCATGCTAGCAGGCAAGTCGTGCAATGCAATTACAACAACTGAAACGCACCTAGCAGCTGATAGTTCGAGCTCATTGGGACTCGAGTCTCAACGCAATGCAATTACAACAACTGAAACACGCCTAGCAGCTGATAGCTCGAGCTCATTTGGACTTGAGTCTCAAGCAGCTAGGAGCAGAGCTTGAACTACGAAAGCAATCAGGCAGTCAGTCAATCAAACGATCAATCAATCGATGCGGACTCATTGCCGAGTGCGGACATAATTCAATATATGTCACTCAATCAACAAGTCAATGTCAACCACTCAACATGTCATCAGGCAATGGGTGGGTAGTAGCAGGGGAGCAGACGTACCTAAACAAGTTTTCTTATTTCCACGTCCACATCCAGCACATAACATGACCGAAGGAAGAAAGAGATTTCCATAAACTTCATCCCTTTGACAGACACCCGGGAGATGATCGACAACAGTAGCTCTCAATGTCGAGACGACACTGCCCCCTTCCGATGTGTAACCCCAGCCACTCATAGTCAGATCCGAAGTGGGTGTAAGCTGGCTGTCGTCTGGTGCCAGTAGGATGGGTCTTGCGGAGGGTGAGAAGGTAATGGCCGTCCTCAACTTCAAGATAGCAATGTCGCTCCTTATGGACGGAATTTGTCTGTAATTTGGATGAATCCATAAAGTCTCGACGTCGATCTTTGCTCCACTTTTGTACTGCACATTCCCGTATCTGATGCTAATGGTGTTCAATGGCAGCTTATGTCCGACTCCTGGGCGATAAGACGAGGGGAAACAGTGACCTGCATATTTGTCGAGCAACAGTGAACAAGCAAAGCAACCAGCAAATGAAGTTTAAACCACCAGTACTTCCTAAGGTTGTGCCCGTTAAACGTGTGGGCCACTACAGGAGGGCCCAACTTCATCCGACTAGAGACGTTCCTACTCTATTTTTTTCCACGGCCGATAGCTGGGCCAAGTACTGGTGGTTTAATGAGCAGAGTGAACAGACAATTACAAATTTCCTCTACTGATCCTACTCTGTATTTAACTAGCAGCATAATCACAACTCCTGGGCAAGAAGAGGAGAGGGGGGCAGGGGGGGGGAGGGGAGGGAAACAGTGACCTGATATGCAAAGCAGTCAGTTCACACAGAACCAATCAAGCACACAACATCAAACAAACAAAAGCAATCAATCATCAAATGAATATATGAATACGATCGCCTAGTTGGTATTATCTGTGACCGTGTGTGAGACTCCTGGGCGATGAGTGGAGTGGAAAAAGTGCCCTGTATCCTCCCATGAACCCACTCCACAAGCAAAATTGAACAAACAAAGCAACCAACAAATTCACACACAATCAATCACCCGCACAACATCAAACGAACAAATCAATCAATCAAATGGATAGACGAATATGATCCCCTAGTTGGTGTCAGCTGTCAGCGTATATGCAATTCCTGCATGATAAGTGGAGGGAAAAAGTGACCTGTAGAATCTAACAGCCAGCTCCATTCATCCACCCTTGCTTCCCCCACACCCGATCAAAGTATCTGCTCCTCTGCTCCTTCCCCCACACCCGATCAAAGTATCTGCTCCTTCCGTACTGCTAATGCAACCTTCTCAATGTACTCATAATTTTATCTGATTCCTTTTTTGCGACCGGCATTTTCATATGCACAACTAGTGACTTGCCTCCTCTCGTGCGAATCCCGTCCTTTTTGTTTTTTTGCTTTTTCCATGCTTCTATCGACTTAGCATATCCTCGATGGAACAACGATTGCATGTGCATTCCCACTCCTTCAAAGGTGGGAACGTTCTCATTGACAGACAGTGAGTTTCCTCGTCTACCACCAAGAGAGTATCGTTTCCGAAGGTTCGGAGGATAAGATAGGACAAAATGGACTTGCATGTCTTCTACTCTCTAAATTTGCTTCTTTGCAGCCTTTGCTTATGTTGGACCATGTCAAGATTGGGTGTGACAGTTGACAGTCAGATTATGGGGGGGGTGGGAGGTAGGGGACACAGAGCCGTTGAGGGCCCTACTCTGCCAGGTAGGCTCAGTGTTCCTCCAATGTTTCCATGATATCTAGGTCCATAGTCAAATCGCTGAATATCCTATGGGGATCTTGCCATGTTTGTGTGTAGGAGTGGAGGATGTCAGCTTTTGCTGGGTGCTCCTTTTCCTCTTGGTACTTCTTTTTCATGACCTTCGAGTGCGGGACCTCCTCTATTGTTTGCTGGGCCTGTTGCAGTCCAAACTGGCGGTCTTTCCTTTCATAGCACCTTACACGCCAGGCCACCATTAGCATGTGTAGCGGGGGGTAGGAGAAGAGGTTGCACAGTGATCTCTTGGCCTGCAAATTAGCGAAACTTGACAAGCAGTTGCGGACTTGTGACTTTTGCATAGAAGGGCAGCATATGCCACAAAGCCTTACCAAGGGCTTAGTGCTCCACTGCCAGGAGATCACTACGAAGGGAACTCTAATGACTGCGATGCTCAGTTTCCTATCCCGATCTCTTGTCACAGCCAACATAAGGCCATCGTCGCACAACTTTGTTGTCCCTCAGGTTCAGGTGTAGGCTTATTCGGGGCTTGCCTAAGCAGTTGCGGACTTGTGACTTTTGCATAGAAGGGCAGCATATGCCACAAAGCCTTACCAAGGGTTTAGTGCTCCACTGCCAGGAGATCACTACGAAGGGAACTCTAATGACTGCGATGCTCAGTTTCCTATCCTGATCTCTTGTCACAGCCAGCATGAGGCCATCGTCGCACAACTTTGTTGTCCCTCAGGTTCAGGTGTAGGCTTATTCAGGGCTTGCCCCTAATCTAACTCCCTCTCTTTGCAATTCTAAATTTATTTGTCTTCATGTACCACCATATTTTGCCAAAGTGAGGTGTGAGTGTAGGTTGGGTTTATAAGAGGGAAAACAGCATGTTACTTTGCTCTCCAAGTTCTAGACTGTCAGATCTGAGAATGTCTATAACAAGGTAAAATGTCAACCATGCATAGAGATGGGCAAGGAAAACGCCATTAAAATCTTGGGGGTGAGGATAACCGCACTTGGCCCCGCACCGGACCATAGCGATATGCTAGTGAATATGGCAATATACTAACAAGCTAAATGGGAGGGGCTACATACCTCACTAGTGGAAAGGGCCTTAGCAATAAACAACGCTATTCTGGCGGCCATTTGGTTCAAACTAACAACTGGTCACTCAAGAAGCAATAATACGCCAAACTGAGTAAAGCGTTATCGACCACATCAGCTCCCGCTTTTCTCGCAAAAGGCAAGAGCCCTCCCAACCATGTCATGCAGGAGTAAACAAAACAAAACGAGAGACAACTTGGGGACAACGCAACATAACCCTGTGGACCGCTGAGACGGCCGTTGTTGCACCGTCCCTTCACTTCTCTAGCCGGGTGCGCCAATCGCACTTCCCACTGTCCCCTACGATAGGATAGGTTCCCGCGGGGCACAACTTACCTTCCCTAAGGGGTTGTCACCACCCTTAGGGGCATAACCCTACTGAGCTACTGACCTACGTGTGAAAGTTTTTACATGCAATTACAGAGGTAGGACAGCCGAGGGTGTTTGCTCGTTTCGATGTACCATAGGTACACATGGGTAAAAACGCCATCCTAACCCGAACGCTGCTCATTGCTCAGGGCATTGATCTCACAAGTACGAGACGCGCGTCGGTCGCCTAGGTAGGTCTCAACCAAGCGTGAAACCATCATTCACCCTAGCCCCTTGCATATAACTTATAAAAAAGAAAAACACACAGGACATCAAGAAAGCACACATATATCAAATATTAGCCTTCAAGGCCTTTGCGCAATCAGAATGTCGGCAACCCATATTGCCGAAACATGAACAATTCAAAGAAAACCCTCATACTTAGCTGGTTCAGCATGACAAGAAACATCAGTAGCTGGTTCAGCATGACAAGAAACATCAGTGTCATGTTGAATCGATATGATTTTACTTGACTTGATATGACTTGCCAAAAGTCATTTTTCCCCGTCCTTGATATAACCGCCTCTCGTAAGGAGAGAGGCATTGCCAAAAAAAACAAAACGTCAGCAGGACCTCCTGCCTAACATACAGGAAGAACTTCGACATAATTCATTAATCTTACTGCAGTTCTACTAAGTGAAACATACAGGCAAGACCCTTATGACAAACTCCAGAGCCGTACCTTGGACAGTTCTGGAAGAAATCCTAACTTAGTTGGATGCTCCTCTTCGCTGAACTCCAAGATGTTGTCGCATGATGTGAGTTCAACTTGGCTAATCATCAACGTATGATGATTAGTTCAAAGGTGTACTTCATATTTCTGTCTTTGCTCTCGGTTTCATTGCACTACCATTGTGCAACTCTTGGAATGGTAGAACTAATGACTCATCATGTCAGCATCCACCGTTTTTCATGACTTACGTCCTCTTATGCCCAAAAATCTACCTATCTCCTATCCGTGGCAGATTCCTGCCTTGATCAACGTGAGCACTGTTATTTTTGTCTGCACATGTAATTATCCCTCAATGCCAAGGCATAATAGTGAAATCATGGGGACAATCCAAATACTATCCATCCGGTGGTCCTATCTATGATCACCTCATGAAGCCAAAATATAGTGGCTCACACCACATGACAATAAGATGTACAACGCCTCCGTGACTCAAATGAGATCTCCAGAGGTCGCTCGTAGTCGTGATACAGCTAACGCTCTTCATGGGCCTGAGCCTCTAATGCCTCAAGGTGTGCAAGCTCATCGTCATTGAAAATCAAAGTCGTGACACGTCCACCTCACATAACTCTAATCGTTTGAGTACTATAAAGTGCGGCCATCCATGAGTATAGCCACCACACCATGGATCGGAATGGTCTGCATATCGTTTCGGTGTCTCGGATCCGAATGACGCCAAAGTGGTTGTCGTCCAAGGTAATCTTGACACTCCCAATGACTCGAGTGAGACATTCGAGGTTACTCGCACAATGGAAATACAAAGTGTAACCCTAAATCGCCCCTGGTGTTCGAGCCATATTGGCTCGAACGTCCGAGCGCGAGTTTAGAAAAAAACCTTGACCGCTCTGAAGTATGCCGATGAAACCAATCCGATGGGTTAGAGTATCGTCTCGAACCATCAAAAGTTGCTCCGCTCCCTCGATCAACCTGGCATCAAGCGTATCATGAATAAGGAGATATCTCGCAATGGTAAGGTCACGCTGACTGTTGTCCATCTGTCCACAAGAAAACACCTCTGTAAAGAAAACATCTCGCCTGAATCGTTGAAACATGTTAACGTGGGTTTGATGGTAATGATGGACGTCCCTCGTTATAGAGCAAGATCATCAGAAAGAAAAACCTCATAAAGTTGCGATTTAGAGGGAGAGTGAGTGAAACTCACTCCCAAGCTTAAAAACAAAGTACAATGTGGCGATTCACAAAGGATTGAAGAAATAGACAATGCAAGATACTCCATCACTCCTGCGAGGTGCGTACCCGTAACAAACCATGTTCCTCATAAAGTGTGGAAAAAGAAGGATCGAGAGGGGTTCCTCAAACTCCCTTGCCAGAACCGCGATCTATCCCTCGCGGGAAAAATGATAGATGAACCATAAATCAACCGGCCGATTCTCACCATGTCGATTCCTTTTTTGCTTGATTCTGACATCTAGTCACTTGCTTCCTCGTGTGTATTGCCTCCGCTACAAAATTTGTCATCTGAAAAAACCTAATATTCCCATTAGTAAACCTAGTGTGGAAAAGGCATGATCGAGAGGGGTTCCTCAAA